GTATCTAAAGATGCTAGTATAAGTATCTAAATATGCTAGTATAAGTAGCTAAATATGCTAGTATATGTAATGTACTTATATCTTGTATAATATGAGTTTGGATAGAAAGTGCATTGAGCGTCCACTCTAGACTTGTATTCTTTTTTTTATTATTAGTGTCGCATAAACTGCACACCTACTCATACACCTGCTGCTGTGACGTCAAGTAGGTACGGATGCTGATTAGGGACACAAAGACAGCATACCGTGTACGCACTTCAACAATACATTACATTCCCTTTTCTCAGTAATATAACAAATAAAATGCTTCAAATATAATAACTTGAAAATGTATCTCTGAAAAATATCCCAACTGGAATTATTATTTAGGTTCCCCCACACTGTAACCAAACCTGAAATAATACTTTTCACTATTGTTTTTTTTTTTTTTTAACAGCCAGTGCATGTCTTAGCTTATCAAATGAACAAGAAAACCATCAGACATCTTACCACGCGCATCCCTTACTGACACAGTTCATAAGTTGAGCTTCTCAGGCGGTCTTACTACTCTGCCCAGTCTAGTGCAAAATAGTTCACCTGTTTGGGCCGGAACACACTGGGGTACCTTCAGCAGTAACGGAGGAGGCTCTGGAGGGGCTCCAGTTGATTGTGGCTCCTCAACTGCTGTTTCACATCTGGACTCATCATCATACACATTTTGCCAGGACTGATTGGCAGTTTTAGTAACGCTGCGGAGGTGTTGTATTGATTGATTGATTTTTATTGTCAATTCTGCATATGTACAGGACATACATAGAAATTGAAATTGCGTTACACTCCTACTCAAATTGCAGCAAACAACAACATTAGCAAAAATAAACTAACACAACTAGTTATATAAAAAAATATAAAAAAATATAAAAGTGAACAGCAGCAGGACCTCTGATGCAACGTGCTTAGGCTCTCAATAGGCTAAATAATGCAGAAACTCAAATAAATGTCAAAACATTTCTTAAATATATAATGTCTAAACCACCGGAATGAGGAATAGAGAAGAAGTGTGCTGGTGCCCATTTTTAAGAACAAGGGTGATGTACAGAGTTGTAGCAACTACATGGGCATTAAGTTGATGAGCCACACAATCAAGATCTGGGAGAGAGTTGTGGAAGCAAGACTTAGACGAGAGGTGACTATTTGTGAGCAGCAGTATGGTTTCATGCCAAGAAAGAGCACCATAAATGCCATCTTTGCTTTGAGAATGCTGATGGAGAAGTTCAGAGAGGGTCAGAAAGAACTCCATTGTGTCTTTATGGATTTAGAAAAAGGATATAACAGGGTGCCGAGGGAGGAGGTGTGGGTCCTCTCACAGAAAATTTTAAATAACAGAGATGCCATTTCCTGCATTTTGGTGTATTTTAACGGGTTGTTATACATCAGCATTTACGCACATTTGTAAACACTAAATAAAATTACTATTTTGGAGAGGAACAGCAGGTTGTGTGTGAATTAGAGCAGCTTCGATTCTGTCAGGTGTCCTAAACCCCCCTCCTCCCTCCCCTCACTTCACGGTTCTGAGCTGAACTCTGCTCTGCTCTTGCTCCAGACTTGTGGCACCGTTTGAAGCACCTGAAGGATTCAGTTCTCTGTTGTCCAACTAAGGACAATCCATCCATCTATTTTTTATTAAAGTAAATTGGACTGTCTTCTTGATATTTTGATTGCTGTTGTTATTTGGACAAATTAGAGCCGTTGTTTTGAAACGTGACGTATAATGTGAATAACACATCAAACATTTCTATCTTTGTATTTTTTATTTATTTTTACAGTAAGTTTTTTTAAATTTATGATGTCTGAAATGTAGCAGGTGTTCAGACACCTGCTGATGTTGTGCGCGCGCTAGAGCTGTCTGGAGATGCTGTGCGTAAGGTGCACTGTCCACAGGGCATTTATTGATTCTGTTGAGTAAATGATCGTTTCTGTTTCGGGAGTCTGAGAGGTGAGAGGGAGTGTTTTTCAGTGTGCAGCCCCACTGACTAGGGACAATATTTGGAGGAGGAGGAGCAGAGAAGGACTCTGCGCAGAATCTCTGTGTGTAAGACCATCTGTCTCTCCGTCCTCACTCCCCCC